TAGGTATGCTTAATTCATGTAACTTGGAAATTCAGTGATAAGTATTATAGAATTATATAGATTTTGACAGTCCAAAATAATCATGTAACTAAGATGTTAGTTTTCTCTCTTACATTGTTTCTGAGTTTTATAAACAAATTTAGTGGTTATAAGTGGCTGAGAGGCAGTTACAATAAAGTTAATTTAGAGTAGGTTACTGATATTTCTTAGTGTTTTACTATTATTCAGTGATTCTCCTTCCAAAATAGGCCTTCTTGCTTCACATTTTGCAGAATTATTAACTAAGAAACAACACTTGAGACTTGATTTTGTAAGATTCCAGAATCTGGACTGAATTTTTTTTTCCTTTCACTGTGCAATATTGATGTCATTAATTATAGTAATTGTAGCATGTATCTGTGCATACACAGTGTTGCAAGCAATGTAATTTAACCAATCTCACAGCAACACTGTGGGTGTCTCACTTGTACTGCTGAAGTTACTGAGGCAGGTCACCAAGCAGGAATCACAAAGCTAGTATTGTCACTTATACTTGATTCTTAAGATAAGTAGCTTCAGTGTTCATCTCATTACATCTTTTTTTTTTTTTTTTTTTAATTTTTTATTGTGGGTTGTTCAAAACATTACAAATTTCTTGACATATCATATTCCACACTTTGATTCTAGTGGGTTATGAACTCCCACCTTCACCCCATACACAGATTGCAGATTCACATCAGTTACACATCCATTGATTTACAAATTGCCATACTAGTGTCTGTTGTGCTCCGCTGCCTTTCCCATCATCCACCCTCCCCCCTCCCCACCTCTCCCCTCCCCTCCCCTCCTCTCTCTCTACCCCCTCCACTGTATAACCCTGAGGGTCTCCTTCCATTACCGTGCAATTTACCTTCTCTCTCCCTTTCCCTCCCACCTCTCATCCCTGTTAAATGTTAATCTTCTTCTCCTGTTCTTCGTCCCTACTCTGTTCTTAGTTACTTTCCTTATATCAAAGAAGACATTTGGCATTACATCTTATCTACAAAGGTTCCCTTTTAGGGTCATTGTTTCAGAATTTTTAACTCTAGTAACTTTACTTGTCACCATTATTTCTTGCCCGTAATGGGCAGTCTATAAATAAGGGTGGTAGGGAAGAGAGGAGGAGGAAGGAGGGAAGAGGGGAAGAAGAGAGGGAGGAAGGAAGGGAGAAAGTCAGGCTAGAAAGAAAGAAGAGGGAGGGAAGAAAAGGAGGAAATCCTATGGTTCCTACATTATCTTAATCCCCAAATCCTCAGCTAAGAGAACTGTCCTATCTCCTTGGGGAAGATCACTTGTCCTGATCTGTGCTAGGGAGACAAACCAGGACTGGAGTCAAAAGACATTCTTTGCTAATAATTTAACACTTTATATATTCTTTCTTCCTTACAGTAGTCTCTAACCTACCAAGGAAAGTGTGTTTGAGATAAAAACTTAATACAGATGGCAAACATAAAAGTGATGGAGTCATGTTTAGCAGTATTCTTAATTGCCGTTCATTTAGCACTGATTAGAAGATAACACCTAAATTGTGTCAAACTACTCATAAAGCAGAGGGATACTGGGTTTATTAAGCAATGAATAAGCAACATCTATTTCACTGCCTTCTCTGAACAACTACTGGGGGTCATCTTTTATACACTGAAATGCATTCTATCTGCAAAATTTTTAGCTTTATCTCTAAAATCTCATCATAGCTCCACCAGGAAAAAAAAATGGTGTTTGCATAGTTTGCTTTGTTTATTTCTTTGTGTGGGGGTAGAATTATCAAATGGGAACTGACTTAGTAATATAGTGTATATAAGCCAAAGAGAAAGGACACCACTGGAAAATTTATAGACTTGTTAGGACTAACAACACAACAGCACACTGTGTTCAACTAAGGAGAGGAGAAAGAAACCTGGCAGAAATCTGAAATGTGTGTGTGTGTGTACAGCACCATCTCTATCCTGGGTTCTTCTGACAATCACAGCTTTTTCTTGTGCTTGGCTGTTGGCTCACAGCAGCTGTATCCACTCCATTCACACTTTGCATCACCTGGGAGTCAGTTGCTGCTTTGCAATTCGTGACTTTGTTTTTTTTTAAATCTCAAGGCAGCTAAGGGATAAAAAGTGCTAAGCACCATCGTCCATGGTGTGTGAGATAGTTGCTACTTCATTTCCCTCTAAGAATCATTTTTACTATCAAATGTTCCCATTACTACTTTAAAGTGATGATCTTAAATTTTTTCAACAGAATATGTCAGAGCTAGATGCTTCAGGATTGCTTCATAAAAGGATAATCGTTTCAGGGAGAATCATTTTTTAAAGAACAAAAAATAGTTATTTCTAATTTTAACATATAGTTATTAGTCTTATTTTGATAATACCGCAAGATCAGCAAGTGTAAGGAATAAGGATGTTATATCTGTCTCTTGTGTATTTCCTGGCTAATTTTTATTGTTAGTTTAAAATTTACATGTAGTGTCTGCATTCTGGGGTGGGACGTTTCCCTTTGTTTTTAGTAAAAATCTTGGGATGTTTTTGGGAAAGAGCCTGTTTAGTGTCTGCTGCTCAGTTGGGTAAAGGAAATTCCTTAGCAACCTGTCAGGGATTCAAATGCCACTAGGGTTTCCTTGAGGTTCAGCATCCCTCTGCAGGAGAACATGGTGACAGCACGCTGCAGGTGGTCGCTTCAGTGCTGTTGCCTAGGGCAGAAAAGAGACCCAGCCCAATTTGTCTTTGCAAGGAATGCTGTCAGCAGTTGAAAGTCTTAAGCACAAAACCTGACCCAGTTAAGGCAACCTGCTCCCTAATATCTTTTAAAAGCAGTTGCCTTGGATGAAAATATTGATACATAGCACCTACATAAACAGTTTTTCACGTGAAGATATATTATGTTAAAATTAAGTGCTGTGTGATATATCCTAATGCTGTCTGTTCTATGATTTCACAGACTAAAAGATGCAAATTACATTCCCCTCATTCTGATACAGATGTTAAAGTATAGCTGATAACAGATGATAAAATCACCTCTCTCCTCACAGTCCTTCATACCTTGTTTGGCTGGTAGACCTGTAAAGGACATTTACAAACTCAGATTGAAAAGGATAAGAAACATTCTTTTTGTTAGAGTAACTAAAAAATTGACCTGGGCTTGGAATGTATGTAGCTCAGTGATAGAGTGGTTGCCCAGCATGCATAAGGTTGTGGGTTCAAACCCTAGCTCTACACAAACAGTAAATAAATAATAAAATAAATTGATGCATTCATACACACATATAAATGCATAAATAAATAAAATTGTCCCAATTCTTTATTTTTGTAGTAATGTTTCAAGAATAGCAGAATATCATGCATCTTTGAAACACCAGATATCCATTGTCAAGCTTTTTTTTTTTTGATTGTTGAGTGCCAAAATAAAAATTCATCTCTGTTTACCCATTTATACTTGCTATTATTCACTGAATACTAGTTTTGTGCCAATTCCTTTACCTAGATTACTTATAATCTGTACAAAAATTCTCTGAGATTGTCATTGCCCCTATGTTCTACATGGGGAAACTGTGCAGGCTCGGGATACAAAGCTTGTAGAAGGGCTTTGAAGCACAGTCCAAGTTATTTTGACTGTCCTTTACTATTGCTCCTAGCACAGGAAACAAAGAGACAGGATAGCCTATGAGTAACTAAGAAACTAAATATTTAATCAGATGTTGAGTATCCTGAACAGTAGAATAAAAACCAAGAAGGCACAAGAAATTAGGTTAAATGTCACAATAAAATGTGGACTTCTGATGGAAATGGAAAAAGAAAAGCAGAAGTAAATGGAAAGTCAGTATATGACAGGTCAAGTAAACCTAAACAAGAGAATGTGAAACTCATGCAAATATAATCGGAAATTGGTGAGGAAGGCGAGACATTAAAAATGTGTAGGAATGAGCCAGGAGATAAAATAAAATGTCTCAATGTGAACTTTTTTTTTTTCTTGAAAAAATAGAGTCTTTGGTGGCTTGTTGATGGTTTTGCTTCTGATCTGACAATATCAATCTTTAGCACTATGGAAATTAGACTTTTTCTGGTTGAGGCTGAGCAGTGTCCAGTTCCCAGCAATGTAAGTGGGGAGAAGTCCTGATACTAAAATGCCCTTCCAGCTTCATTTACTGTGTCCCCTCAATGATGCAGGCAGCCTTTTCAACTTCATTTCCACGTAACTGTGAAGTTTAAGAAGTAAATGTGCAGTTATCACATGAAGATGTTAAAGACAAAAATTAAAGGCTTATTTCTGTATTCCTAATTCAAGATACTTTTGTAGTGCTTTTTTTTTTACATTTGTAAACATATTTATACTGTCTCTGTTTCTGCAAAAAATGCATTGGCAATCAAACATCAAGCAGACTTTCAGAGTAGAATAGAAATAATGAAGAGAATGTCTTCAGAGTTGTATGTTAATATATAATATTAAGTTAATATTTTTTTCATTTGCAACACACAAACCACCTTATTTTTTTTGCTATACATTGTCAAAAACACCCATAAAGTATATATATATATATATATATATATATATATATATATATATATATATTAAGCATAGTTTCCAAAATAAATACTTTGCCAATTCATTTCCATTAAGATTGAGCTTCATAGACATAACTTGATACCTTGCCTCTGAGTCTTCCTGGAAAATGAATTTTACTTAGCAACACAAGAGTTTCTCTTTTCTAACTACCTTAGAAGGTATAATACTATATGTAAAAATTGTTGATCCTCTTTTCCTACTTAATTAGAATCCAATTAACTTTGTAATTACACGTTTGTCGTTTTGCTTTGTATAATTATACCCAGAAAGCACTTTACTACTTTCTCTGTTTTTTTGTCAAATCTGAAACCAGTGAAGTCCACTGTATCTTATATGTACTGTTCCTTTGAAGAGAATTTAAGGTGAAAGGCTGCTTAGAAGGGGCCAGAAACAGATGTGAACCTTTCCTCTCTTTATCTCTTATCCAGCCACGTCTACATCTACTACCGGGACCAGCCATCTTGTCAAGTGTGCAGAGAAGGAGAAAACTTTTTGTGTGAATGGAGGCGAGTGCTTCATGGTGAAAGACCTTTCGAATCCCTCAAGATACTTGTGCAAGTAAGAAAAGAAACAATCTCTGTGGCTCATATCCATAGCTTCTTATTCTGGATGATTCCATGTCTCATGATGTGGATTGTTGCTTCTTTTTCTAATTTCGTTGCATCCTTTTGATTAATGCTGTTTTATTTGTAGAGTTTTTTGAAACAGTCACACCATTTGTTATTTCTTCTGTTATATCCAGAATTGTTTTTTGCTTTTTTTTCAATGTGTGCAGAATTTTATTTTTTTGTGTTTGGTTTTGGGTTTCTTTGGCCTTCATATCTGTCATGTTGCTTTTCCCGTGGTTTTGTGGTTTTCCTCATTGTTACAATGAGATGTGCAAATATTACTGGGGGCTATAACTTTGATACCTACTTCTCCATCCAATGTATGAATGGAGCTGTAAGATAATATTCCTCTCTTACTCCAGTGATCACCTGCAAAATGAGTAGGACAACTAAAGGAAGCAGAAGTACAGAAGGTTCTTTATTAACATATCTGTCAAACTTGGGAATATCTTGTTCCACAACTATAAAAAGATGAACATTAGGTCTGTATTAATAGTGGGGAAAAAAATCATTGCATGTGTTCAGAAATGTGCTCAGTGTATGTGGCACCACTATGTGTAGCAGGCAGTGTTCTTTCACGCACTGCTATCATCTATGGATATGTCTAGATTGTCCCTTTCTTCCAATGACATGCACCATTAAGAAGGATCAAATTTATTCTTTCTTATCAGGAAGCATAAAACAAAGATATTGTCAGTGCATTAAACGATTAAATCTTACATTAAAAATTAATAAGGCCTATTAAAATACCTATGTTTATTGGGTCATGCATTTCAGGTCTACTCTTCATATGTATTTTATATGTAGTATGTGGACTCATAAGTTGATATTGGTAAAATGTGCTTCTTATTTTATTAATATGATGAAAAATATATTTATTTTGCTGTTTACCAATAGCTATGTCCCCAAAGCAAAGTGTTTTAAAAGCAGTTCCTTTAAAAAATGTAGTGTAGAACATCTAACACATTTTGTAGGCAGTTCATAATTCAAACATGCAGTGTGTACATTGTTCTAAGAGTAATGATGTTTGTCCTAAAGAAGGAAAAATAAAAGCAGTCTCTTGCTGTAGAATTTTAGCAGGTGACTTAAAGGTTGACAAGGAAGAGCAAATCTTTTAGTAAGGCAGTTGAGCTCATAAAAAGAACAGCTGGCATAAAGGAAAAAAGCATAGGAAATAGGTAATAAGGCCTGTTATACTATTACAATGCAAATATTGTATTCATTTGAAGAAAGCTTAATTATATTTGTTAGTAATAAAGTGCATCAGAAAAGACATTTGTTTCAAAATTTAATACCAAACAAAAATGCTGTTTTGTAAGAAATGTTTTACTGTCCCCTGAGCTGTCAAAATAGTCATCTCTCTAATGTGTCCCAGGGGAACTGGTGGCTGTGAACAAGAATCTTCCAGAACTGTTATTTTTTTTGCACCCAGAGTTGGTTGTTTGTTGGTTTTCTTTTTTTTTTTTTTTTTTTTTTTTTTTAAGAGTGGAAGCAGTACCAAGAGAGGACACATTCTGGTGATTGTACAGCTGATTTTATCAATGAAGACAGACAATTTACAAAAGCAAATAGAACATGTTAGGATGAATACAAGAGTGCTAGAAGTGTAAGATTCTAATCTCAATTACTAGATGTCTCTCTCACAGAGACAGATAATAGTCATAAGCCAAAGTAAAATTGTAGGTAAAGTCTTATAAAATCTGTAAAGCATGATAAAAATGGAAGAGTATGTAGGAGAAAAAGATTCCCTTTCCATCTAAGTTATCTCACAAATTTATGTATGATTATTGTTTAAAAATTAATTTTTGACACTTTTTGAACATTAACATTATTCAATTCTCTATGCCTATGTCAGCATAGAAATTTTCCAGTTTCCATATTTTTTCTACTGACTCACCATGAATACAGTGCAAATATGACCAAACCATATTTATCATAGTGAATTGGCATGAACAAATTTTTTTTCTCAAATTAAAATAGAAAATACCAGAAACTGGAAATTAATCTGTAAAGTATGAAGTTAATTTATTACATGGTCAAACCTTGTTTTATTTCCTAATTTTGGTAATACAGTATAATTGTTTTTAATATATCTCTTCAAAAAAATATTTAAAACATAGTTCCTTAAATCTTCCCCCTTTTAAACAACTGTACTCATATTTATCTATGTCTTATATTTTACTCCTTGAGAATCACATCTGAGACCACTGTATTTTTAATTATAATAATGAAATATGATCATTTTTCATCGTAGCCTTTGTAAAGATTTACAAGCTGAGTGAGTACATATGATAGTTTTTGAATACCTCCAAGGAACCACTGCAGTTATTTTCCACATATTAATTTCAGCTATTCTATAGCCCTCCCACATCCTATACAAAACATGCAATCACATAAGTGCTGTTCATTTATTCCATCTTGGTATTGTGCCAACACTGTAATTTTTCTTCACCCACACAGTTTCTCATTAAATTTTAAGCCCAATCCAGAAAAAAGTACTTGCTGTATTTTTTTAATCTTAGAGTGAACCATTTGTTTGTTGTCTAATAATTATTAAAGCAGCAAAGCATGAATGAATACTTTGCATCCCCAAACTAATTGTCCAGTGGATCATGCTTGCCTTCAAATTCTCAGAAAATTTCTTGCTTCCTTTCTTTTTCTCTTTCTTAAAATGTTGCCTTGTACTTAAAATATTTCAGGAAGGTGTTATAAATTACTACAGTGTTTTTTTGGAAAGAAAATCTTTGGCATCTATAATTTTGATAGATTCCCCCTCCCCCGCCCGGACACACATACTCCTCTAAGGACCGTGACTTTACTAGTGTGTTAAAGTACACCAGTACCTTGAAGAAGAATTAGAGTATATTTCTATACAAAATAGTCCAGGCTTTTGTGGTTGTTGTTAAATGAAAGTGTTTTTATTTTTAAGAAGTCTCTATATTAAAAGCATCTATAACATTAAAAAGTAATCACTACTCAGAATCTAAACAAAGTCACACAACATACCATGTCTTGAGATAATATATTGTTCACGAGGCCACTTGAACAGAAACAGAAAACATAAAAATGTTGCATTGGCTCATCATGGTTCTGTCTATGAAGCCAGTTCATAGTTTCCATATGGCCCAGCTGTGTAGAGCAAAATATTGCTGAAGCATGAGCTACATCATTCAAAGTCAGCTTTATTTCTGACTTAAGAGATGACTCAGAAACACCGCAAGCATGGAAGTTTCCAAGTAGTCTCTCTGGTCACCTAATCCACTGTTGTCTTCTTGGGAGTTGAAGAAGATTTTATAGCAAATGTCTTTTGTCCCTCCGTTTAGAACAAGGTGTTCCAAATGGATTAACCATATAACAGTTAAACACCTCTCTGAGGGGAGGTTTGCTGGTTCCTTGGACATTCCCCTGGGCACTGTGTGGGGATTCCAGTGTGGTTCTCATCTTTTATATTTATTTTCACTGCACAGAAATTTAAATTTTATCCCAAGGGGAAAAAATAGTTAGTATTCCAGATTCTACAAGGAGAAGGAAAGATTCATTCCAATTTTTACCCTCTGATGCTATATGTAGTCATGTAGTTCAAAGAAACAAGATCATTGAACATGAAATGGTCCAGATTTTCCTCTGTTTTCCTTCTTTTATCTGTCCTTCTGAACAGTTTCAGTAGAAACTATTTTGGAAGATGTTAATGTGATTTTTTTTAATCTGAAAATTATTTTTCTATCAGGCCGTATGTATAAACCTGATACATTGTCCAAGTGGACAGATGGGGCTTCATCATGAAGGGATTAGAGTTTTAACCGCCAATTTTGGTGAAATGTCTTGAGTCCTTTTACATCAATTCTCTGGACAATATTTTATTTATAGATAGAGTTAATAGGTTCTCCAATTTTTTTCCTAGGGAATCAGTGAAATTAAATGAGTTCATTTCTGTTAAAGTACTTTTAACACTAGGAATAGAAGTTTTTTTTTTTTTTCTCTTATAATAAAAAGTAAATGGTAGTATTACATTGTCTCTGTTGGCACTGGAAAATATTTGTTTTTTTCATTTTATTTAATGCTGGTAGTTGGGTTTTGTTTTTGTTTTGTTTCATTTTTTGTGAGTCCACAAGCTTGCTGTGTAACTTTTCAGTTGACAAGATCATTTAAAATCTCTGACCATTAGCTTCCTTCTAGGAAAAACAAAAACAGGAAACCAAGCAAATTCTATTTGGAAAGATGGGAGGTACTTACAAATATGGACTTCTGTGATTCTGTTGATTAATATTTATGAAACTATGTAGGCCCATGTTGTATTAAACATTAGTAAAAGAGACATAGTTATAAAAAAACATATAACTATAGGAGATTAAGTCACAATAATGTGCTATGAATTAAACTCAGTAACTAAAATATTAATTAACAATTATTTATATATCAGCTATACATCACACATTTTTGAAAACACAGAGAAATATAAGGCATTATCTGTGGTCTCTAGGAACTTAGTCTGTTTAAGAAAATGAAATAGCTAAAAGAAATTAAGGAATGACAGTGAACATATCATGGATGGTAAAATGCTGATAATTAAGGGAATAAGAAAATTTTATAAACATGATCATTGTTTATGGGATATTTCTAAATACCAGGCAGGTATTGAGTTGCAATAATCTTTTCAGCAAAATGCAGTGACAAGCCTATCTAGACCACTTGCTCCATTGTAGCAAGTTTAAAAAAAAAAAAAAAAATGAAACCTAAGATGAGCCAATTTCCGAGCTCTGAAGGGCAGGCAGAGGACTTTGGGCTTTGGGATAGTTCAGAGGAAAGCATGGCAACTTCTAGAGCAGGAGAGTGGCACCATGAACATAGCAGATGGTTAACCATGCAGGCTGGAGAAATTTGGGTCTAAATAAGATATGGTGAGAAGGTCAAAGATGGTAGCTAACGTTTAAGTTTTATAAATACTATCAT